TTGTTTCGCTTTCTGGTACCGCTCTTGGGCAGCTTTAATGGCTTCCATGGAGTTCTGTTGTGCAATTCCTCTATACTTTCCAATCTCTTCAAGAGTTTCATCTCTTTCCTCCTCATGATGACCTCCTACTTTCTGTGTATTCATTCCCTTCTGGTTCTTGTCTTCTGTGCTATCAACTGTTGGTGTTTTCTGAGCCTCCCCACCTTTACCTTGCTCCCTGCTTTGCATGGCTGCCTGCGTTTCACTGCAATCGATCTATCTCATCTCTATACGAATTGTTTATGATGATAAGTGATGGTGGATTTATAGAATAGAGGGGGTTGGGGTTTGAATGTGATGATGAAGTGGGAGAAAGCCCCGTGGATGGCAACGGGAAGAAGTGAAGAATGACTCAGCGTTTGAATTGTGGTTGGTGGTTGTGAATCGTCGCATAGTGTTGCACGTACCGCTACACGTGTGCAGAGTTATTCAAGGTTCAAGCTAAACCCCATCACGTTCTACATCATATATATCCTCCCGTTGGCCGCCGAATAAAAATGACAAGGACCAAGAATCTTACTCGATAAAAACAAAAGCAAGAAGCGAAAGTCTTACTTAGCAAGTGAGTGTAGCGAATTACTTTAGAAATAGAATGTAGTATTAGACATTTTATTTCAAAAATATCATAGTAAACTTGTTAAGACATCCAAAAATGTCTAGCAAAGTATTGCAACGTTTTTACATTGAACACATAATTGTTTGCACTACAAAAATGCAGAGTATCAGCGAGGGAAAAATCCCTCGCTGAAAGGGCAATACGTCGCTGATACTCCGTCGGTCAAATAATCGTAGGTAATGCTATCGCGACGAATCAGCGACGGATTTGCGAGGGACACTTTCAGCGACGGATCTGCGAGGGACACTTTCAGCGACGGATCAGCGAGGGATAGTTTCAGCGACGGATCTGCGAGGGAACCTTCAGCGACGGATCTACGAGGGAACCTTCAGCGACGGATCTGCGAGGGAACCTTCAGCGACAGATCTGCGACGGAACCTTCAGCGACAGATCTGCGACGGAACCTTCAGCGACGGATCTGCGAGGGAACCTTCAGCGACGGAACCTTTAGCGACGGATCTGCGACGAAACCTTCAGCCACGGATCTGCGACGGAATTTTCGAGGACTTTCAGCGACGGATTTTTCCTCGCTAATCTGTCGCTAATTTGTATAAATTTAAAAAATAAATTTTTTGAATTTGGATAATTCCTGTATTTATTTATAAAAATAAATTTCAGATCCCTCGCAGATCAGCGAGGGATCTGCGAGGGAATGTGAATTTTGTCATTTCCCTCGCTGATCTGCGAGGGATCAGCGAGGGAATCTGAATTTTGTCATTTCCCTCGCTGATCCCTCGCTGATCAGCGAGAGATCAACGAGGGGAGGGATCAGCGAGGGAATCTGATTTTTGGCCATTTCCCTCGCGGATCAGCGAGGAAATTGTCCTATTTTCTTGATTTTCTTGAATTTTATGTGTTATATTTTTATATTTAGATATCGTATGTATATATGCATGTGTTATAAGTATATATACTCGTTAGCCCGTGTTATATACATATGTTTACACGACGTTGTATGTGTTATATGTATATATA